AATTACTTTTATGTTCATTTTTCTGTGCACTGATTTATTTACCATCATGGCCTCATGGCTTTTTGACTTCCATTTTGATGCTTCCTATTCTTAATGATGTTTCAAACGTTGTCTTAAATATTGGTCACTCATGTTTCAACGCATAAAAATAATCAGCAAATATAGAGGAGCAGACATGGAAAGAAGTAAATATTACCTAAGATTTTCTAATAAATCTCTAATCTACAGCTTCCACGTTGTAACTTATGCAAATTTCTATATAGAAGCTTACTAAAGTGAATGTTGTTCACAAATCCACGGTCTAAGATTTATTTCTTGGTCATGGGCAGAGACATCTACATTTAATACCATCGTTTGTGTTCATTTAAAGGAAAAGAAAATTTTGCTTTTAAAAAGAAGATTTTGTATGATGGTTTCGAGAATTCTGTGAAGAGTAAATAGCAAGACAAAGCTATAATAATAATTTCTAAAATAATAATAATTCGGCGACGAAGCTATAATAATAATTTCTAAAAACTTTGTTTTAAGTTAAGCTGGTGTAAGTTATCTATTCTATTTATTTTTGTTTTAGAGAAAATTTTAAGGGGGAAAATAATACTCTGAAAGACCTATTACATCTATTAGTAAATTTTTTAATATCTATGTTTTTATAAAAAATGATAAAAATCTCGTCTCAATGAATTATAATTAAAGAAATCTTTGTGGAGAAAAGATAAATATAAGTTATATCATTTTATGTGCATGAAATGTAGCTTGTTTCATCTCCATCAGATCTTGGAGTTGGAGTATTGGTTCTCCCAAGTACTGCAATAAAAAGCCACTGGAGCGGCAAAAGCCAAATCCGATGGTGAAAATGGAGAAAGACGTATTTGGTAAGCTTTTACAATAACTGGTCATGTTTATCTAAAGTTCCAAACTCTACCTGTGATGCAAAAGATAATATATAGTATGAAATATCACAGATTTTCATGCTATATTCATTTCCTAACTTTTCTAATTTTAGTGGAGATTGTGACGGTTATGCCAATGAGAATATGAAAATTTTATGGAATAAAGTTATCCATTTATTTTGAGAATATACCTTTTAGGTTCCTAATCATAATATTTAGTATTTGCTGGATTCTCATATCTTTGTTTATAATGTTCAAGATAATTTTTCACGTTTAATTGAAGAAAACGTTTCTTAGTAGAGAAAATTTCTGATAAGATTTCATAAAACAAAAAAAAAAGTCGAGAAAAAACTAATTAAAACAAAATCACTTTAACAAAACAAGTTAACAACTAATTTCTCTAATTAAATACAAATTAGAGAGATACCCAAACCGAAGATATCAAGTTTATGTAAATAATAATTTGTAGGTGGACACAAGCGCTTCTTGCTAGAATGTTTGCCTTCGAATTCTTCACGCGTGAAATGTGTGATATAGTGAAGGAATTGTAAACTGAAATTTAAAGATAAAACTAAACTTCAGTTTTAAATATTACACGCATATGCGTGGGTACTCATCTAGTCTATTATATAAAGAGTGGGTTGTGTCTCACAAACTTGACACATCAGCTCTTCTCATTATGACACATCAACTTTGAATTTAAGTATTTACACCAATATTTTTTTTTAACAATCCCAGAAATCAAAAAAGAAAGAAATGTCCATTTTTGGTCAATAACACTCATTATTATCTCATTAATCTTATTCCTAGAAGTTGGAAAGATGGAATAAAATGGTTATCATGGTGATAGTTTTTAAATTTGATTATTACGGTGATAATTTTTATAAAGATAGTAAACTTCATCTAATGAAATAACTTGGTAAAACTGAGATGATTAATTTGCTGTGAATTATTTACTATCCTTATAATTGTAATCTCTTAACAAAATAGAGATGTGACTTATTTACTAACTAAAAAAATTATTTATGAACTAAAATAGAGAATCAGAAATAAACTATTTAAAGCTTTATTAAAAAAATTTTCGGCTAATTATATGATTATTTTTAGACATAACCAGTTGGAATGATTGATAAACCTTTTATATTTTTAAAGTTAAAAATGTTACAACTACAATCACAGATGTAACTATGTAAGTAACCATTTTGGGAACAAATTTTAATACAATTAAAATTTACAGTTATCTTACTATATTTTCATGTATTGTATAGTTTTTCCAGAGGAATTTTATAATTGTAGGGTTTGGAATTTTAATATGTTTTTTTTAATTCAAATGTTTCTTCGTCTAAAGTCATTGATTTGAGTTTGTTATATGCCAATTTTCAGTACCTAAGTTTTCTACTTCTACGGAAATCATCCCAACAAATGAAAAGATGTCAAGAAAATGGAAATGTGTGACCAAAGCCTTGAAAATATTTTAAAATCATGCAAATTTTCTTACCAGATAGCATATGGTTATGGAACTATAGAATCATAAGACGTCATTTTGAGAAAACTTGGGCTAATGGTTTTTGAATCTGAACTCAACTGCATCAATAAGACTGATGCTGCGCTTATTGAAAGTGTGAAGATTGTGATTTAAAACCAGGCGGAGATGCTCAAAGTTGACATGTTTCTGATTCCCACAAGAGTATTGGTGGCTCTTTAGGCAAAAAAAAATCAAGGATGGAGAGTTCCATTTGTTGTTTAGAGGAGACAATGCTAATGTTATCTGTTACTTGACACTCAAGTTGGTAAGATTTCACTCTTTTACCGTTTGTAAAGACTGCCCCAAAGTAGACGGCAATGCGTATTAAATTGAAGGTTGTTCCATCTTTTTTTTTCAGGAATAACAGAGTAGAAGGCGGTGATATCACCACACCAACGGTAGTTTCTGTGTAGTTCAATGCATAAAATCAGAAGGATACAAAGAGGTTCTTGGGTTTATACATATGTGGTGAAGATTATGTGGTCAATGGAAAAATTGCTTCTAGGAAAATTAAGAGAGAAAAGTACTAGCTATTAATAAGGTACTTCATTATCTCTACTGTCATTATTATTTTTTTGCTGCATTTTTAAAAATTTGTGTAAAGAGAAAAATATAAGAAGTAAATGGCAAAGAGAGAGTCAAAATTTACAGATAATATACCAAGGAGATAGGCTAACAAAAAAAAAAAGAGAGCGAAAGATATTGCTCTCTCCTCTAAGATGTACAAGAAGTTTTCATGTATATGTTTGATTTTTTTAAGGAACAAATAATTAAAGAATTTAGGTTCTTATAATTATAATTAGAGTAAACGAAAAGTGTTTTACATTTAAAAATTTTAAGTAAAAGAGAGTAAAAAACTATTATGGGAAGTTTACAAAAAAGTTGAATAAACAGAAATACTCAGAAAATATAAGAAAAAGTTATAACAAATCACATTACTCTAAATAGTAAAAACATTTTGTCACTCATCGAATAACCAATCCTCTATCTTGAATTAGGTTATATTTGTTAAAGTATATTTCTTACCAATCAAAATTTAACTCCTAAACACTAAATATATATGAAATTTATCTTATTATATTTAACACAACTTAAAAAATCTAAATAATATATAAACCCGCGTGTACAGGGATATACATCTAGTTAGAGGTAAAAGTAGTGCATATGCGAGTGCTAAATGAGTGGAATGAAGTACATCGAACCTTAGTTATAAGTAACTATAGATGATTAATTTAATATCTTAGACGTCGATATCAAATTAAAAGGAAAATTTCTTAAAAATCAAAATCTTTAAACAACAAGGTCCCCATTTATATATTCAGAGGTTATATGACTATAAATGTCTTGGTCTTTTAAGACATCTCAAAGGGCAAATGATCAAATTACCGAGAGAATTACAAAATAGACATGGCATAGCTAGATCGGCAAATCAATCAAGGTACTCATGAGTCACGACTCATCTTTCAAAAGAAAACAAAGCGGAAACAACTTTTACAAAATGGTTTTTCTCCTCAAAAGCGATACAGAAATAATCAATCATTGAGAGAGAAACAGTGATGAGGTGTTAGAAAATGTGGAAGAGGCAATGCGTCATATATTATGCTCGTTGGTAAAGTTAAAAAACAGTCGAAATCGTTTTCTCAAGAACCACTTTTTCTCTTTAATTTGGGCGGTGCAATTTGTTCCTCCTTTTTATGGAATGTGAAAACACCACATAATGAAGTCGAATTTGCAAATTTAGGCGGAATTTGTCTTATTGATATAGCAAAAAAAAATGATTAATATCAATAAGATATCAATGAGTCTAGTTTATTTTTACGAACTGTTGAAAAATAACTTATATGACCAGGATATGTATATAGCCTTATAGTTTCTGTTAATATCATCAGTGTGTCCCTACCTGGATTCAAATCCGTATTATGTATGTTGTTAAGAAAAAAAAAATCATAAATTTTGTTCGACAAAAGTTAAGTATCAACATGATGAAATATGGACAGATTATATTGGATTTATTATTTTAAACTTGTTGATACATACAAGAATGATTTGATGTCAAGAATTGTTGTAAAATATATTGGAAGTTACTACTAAAACTTAGTAAGTTGTTTAGTGATAGGCGTCACCATGTGATAAGTATAGTGGTTGACAATTATTATAGAAAGGAATCATGATATGCAAACTTAATTGCATATCAAATCCAAGGTTGCTAAGATATTCTGAATTCATTGTCTCATATAAGCTCAAATTTAAAATAAAAAATAATGTTATGTTTAAATGTAGAGACTGATAAATATTTAAAACTCTTCCCTATTGATTAATGAATATGATCATATTTGGTATGTCGAATCAGGTTATGAATACGACTAATCATAGCAAGGAATAAATTGGGATATACAGTATACTAAATAAATCAGTAGCAGACAACAGAATTTTCCAAGACAGAGAGGAAAATTTGACTCTACTCTTAAAAAATTCAGAATATTCAAACAAACAAGAAAATCCCTAGTTTGCTCTGTTTCAGACAACTCTCAACATGTTTAGGTCATTTTGTTTGACCTTTCTAGATCCCAAAATGAGACGACATGTGAATTCTCAACAATATTATTACCATCATCTAGGAGATTAAATGAACATTGGTGAAGTTACAGAGAGAGAGAGAGAGAGAGAGGTTTAAACATTTTTCCTTCTAAAAAAAAAGATCTAAATTAACAATTCTGTTTTCTTCTTTCAGTGTTTGTCGTTGGAACTTCTGTTGATGGACAAAAACTTGCTGAACATCTTCTTAGGCCGACCTGGAATTGCACAGAAAGCCTTAAACCGAGATGGAGTCCTTCCTCCTCCGTCTTGATTCATAAACCTTTCGTCTAACTCTTCATCTTCAGCTAGCTTACTTCTCAGAGTCCCTGAGAGTTTTGATTTGGGAGATTTGAGACCAGAGACGCTCCATTGATCTTCCGGTGCTGCCATGCTTGTAGTCGTGCTAAAAGCGGCTGCATTTGGATTAGAAGGGTCAATTTTGTGTGCAGCGAGTAATGCTTTGATGTTGCTTGGAAGTTCTGTCATTTTGCCTCCTTCACAGTTGGTCGTAGTAGCCGCAGCGGCTCGTGCCTGCTCATAGAAGAGGACTTGGACCACTACTCTTAGAGGAAGCATCTCGTTCTGCGCCGCGTGCATGCAAGCTTCCATTGACAGTTTCTTGCAGTTCAAGACTCTGCAAACTTTCTTCCTTTCTGATTTATTTAGATTCTTGTGAGCCTGCAAGAACACAACAAGACAAACAATGACTCTTGAATGATTGCTTAAAACTGATACAAGGATTAAGAACTGAGAGATTATTATATATAGTTTACCTTGAGATATATGTCAATGGCTCTGTAGAGATCATCATGATCAAGTCTTGAAAATTCAGGGACACTCTCAGCTAAAGTGACAAACTTTGAGAGTGGAAGATTCACATCTCTAGCAATCTGTTGGAGATATCCATCAACAAGCTTAGCCACTTTAAGCTTGGAGCTATGAGAGGCAGAGGAAGATCTCCTACTTTCTTGGAACTCAAGATCTATATTCTCTGCCGAACGAGATCTTCTTCTTCTATCCATCATCATTCCCTTTTTACCTCTTGGAGGACTTGTTGGTGGACTAGTCTGCCCTTGGACCATAAACTGTTCCAAGATAGTCGCAACAATGTCCACATCGTACAACATTTCGGATTTGTAGGACATTGGTGGTATTAACAAATCACTAACCGTTGCTTCTTCTAACTGAAGAGCCACCCTTCTTGCTAATTCCATTTTAGAAGACGCTGATGCGTTTAAGATATTAGCTGCTTTCAAGAGTTTAAGCAAGAAACTGCAAGAAACAGCGGTTTTCTCAGCAGGAAGCAAGCTTATTATGGATTCCAACAACAGCCTATGCTTCGATGAAGACTCTGTATCAGAATCCGAGTCTGAATCAGTTTTCTTGCCGACTAGTTTCCGGTTTCTTTGTAAAGTAGGAAGCCATTTAGAAGCGTAAACTCGAAGGGCATCACCTACAAGACTCGAGGGTACTTTGCCACCGGATTTAATAGCAATCATAGTCCTCCAATAAAGATCTATCCCCAACTCTGCTATATCTTCAGCCCACCATCCTCTGCTCGTAGCAGCGGCTCTGTTAGAGGACGTGTCATCATCCTTAACACGCCTAGAATGGCTATGTGAGAGAGACACTTTGGATGGGTGAGACAAGACCTTAGAGGCTATGGCTTCAATGCATCTACTTGTGATAGCGAGATCTTCAGACCACAAAGGAAAAGCTTTTGTGGTTTGGAGAGTGACTATGGAGTCTCTCCATCCGTTTAGGATGCAGGAGTTGAAGAAAACTTCAAGCTTGTACACCAAGTTACCTTTCTCAACCTCCTCTGACATTTGTAGATACTCTGCTGCACATCTTGCTGCTACGATGTTGTAAGCGCTTATGGTTATTGTTATTCCGTAGCAGAATTTGGCACAGAGATCAAAGGCTTCTACTCCTCCTGGAAATTCTGGAAGTTGGATGGATTCTGGTGATTCAGAGCATAGTCTTTGAAGCCTTAAACATTTGGAGAGTAGTGGAAACTGCAGACAAGAAGAATACAATCAAATAAACTCTTAAAGTGAAGTAATCATCTCAAAGAAGAAGAAGAAGAAGAAGAATGGGTACTTTGTGAAGAAGATATCTGCTTCCTGACACTTCGATTGGGAAATCACTGGAAACTTCAGAAGACACACATCTGCAACAAGCAGCAAATCAGCTTTTTACTCAATATTTATGGCCAGAGACTTTTACTTGTTTTTTTTTACTACTTACCTTAAATCTTCTGAAGTGTAGAAAGTGTCAGGACGAGATCCAAGTTTCATAAACTTCATAGCTGATTTATGATGTTTTATTAGGTTCTTGAATCTTCAGAAAATCCTCTGCATAATGGCCAAACTCCAAAAGGGTTTCTTCTTCTAAGGCTCCAATCTCTGAAGAACAGTTCCTTCCTCAAAAAAAAAAAGAGAGACAAATTTCCTGTCTGCAAGTGAGACAAAACAGATCAAAATTTTGTCAAAGTTTTGTTCATGTGAGAGAATTAAAAAAACAAGATTTTGTTTTTCTATAGAGAATTTGTCATTGTGGTGAGTGATTTAGTTGGATATATAGATAGATGGAAAAAAGGAAAATATGTAAGAAATAAAAGAGAAAAGAAAAACCCAGAAAAACTGAGGCCACTACTAAAGTTCATGTCCATTCAATCAAATTCCTTATACCCAATCTGATATGGACATACAAACAAAAAGAATCAAAATCAATGCAATAAAAGAAAGAAAAAAAAAAGATAAAAGGTAAAAGATAGAATTGGATATCCTATCAACACAACATTACACATCACAACCCACCCAAAGTTCCATCAATCACAAAAGATAACTAAACACCTTACTCCCATAGCTCACACATTAGAACAAGAATGTTCTTCGATTCCCATGCAATAAAACCAAACATATATACAAGAAGAAAAGCTCACTTGGATGAAAACAGAACAAACTTGAGGTTTCTTCTTTGTGTTATGAGAAAGAAAATGTTTTGAGCAAGGCAATTTCCCAGAAAACCCTCTTCACCAATCATTCAAAGATAAAAAGAGAGAAGCAAAAGAAAGCAGAGCAGAGCGATCTACTTTTCAACTTTTTTTGTTTTCTTGTTTTATGCAAAAATTGGGATTTTTAATTTTATATTCATTTGGTAGGGACTTTATCTGATATTATTATTTTTTCCCTGATGTTTTTTTTTTTTTTTGGGGGGTAAAATATGGTGATTAGGCCAGTCACCAGCGTGCAAAGGAGAATCACCAATCCCACGTGCTCCTGCCTATCCCACCTTCTCTGTTCCTCATCATTGTCTCTCCATGTTTTTTTTTCACTCTTCTTATTGTAATTTTTTATCTCTTTTTTCATTCTTCCTCGACACATCTTGATTATTATTTATTGTTTACATTTTAATTATTATTATTATTATTATTATTTCCATTCTTCACACACACACAAAACTATAAGTTTTAGATATATAGATAACTCAACAGAACTCAAATCCTTACTTTTCAAAAGATTAATCATTGTGTTTTTTTTTTAAGTTTCACGTACGAGATAAATATAATTTCATGCAAACAGAGATGATAACTAATTATTTTCCATACCTAGAAGAATATATAGTAGAAAGACTTATGAATATTTTGATATATCACTTAGAGTGAACATTGTATATATATATACAACGGGATACAACCAAATAACCAACTATACAAAAAAACTTGATATATATATATTAGTATGGTTATATAACGCATATATTTTTGAAAATGACATGACATAACTCTTGACATTAAGTCATTAACGTCTTTATAAAAAATATTGACATTAACGAGAGCGTAAATTAATATAATACTATTGTTGGATGAAATTGCATGGTCCACATCGGTTTATGTCCAAGTCATACATAGTAGGGGTATTTTTTTTTGTTGTTAAAGTAGTAGGGATTAAAAGTCATTTACATCTACTAATTAACTTATTTACATTTATGTTATCGATCTTACCTCTTATATACATTAAAGATTGTTGACATTTCATGTAACTACTATTCTATTTTTATTATTGATAGTAAAAAAAGGGATTAGATCATTTAAAGAAAGTTTGATTTTTAAGCAGCTATCTTGTCCATACACCTCTTATTATCAAAGGGGTTATAATATCAAAGTGCGACAATGAAATCGACAATAACCTCTCTTTTTTCGCATAGTCTTTAATGAGTGTACACACTTTATGAAGAAAGTAGGGGGAAAAATATGCATTTCTGAATATTATTTATCACGAAGGAAAGGCATAGAATGAATAACAAATGTCTAATTGTTTTCCTCATCACATCTTTATATTTCGAATATAAAATGTATAGGAAACATCGAATTTACCCATCTATGCTAACTATTAACAGAGAAAAGTGGAGGCCTGCTAATAGCAAATCATTGAAAGTAGATTACTTTCCAAAGAAAGACAAAATGTTAAACTTCATCATCTCTTTATACAAATAATTTCTTTTTGACTGAAATGATGGAGTTTTACCCTCTTCTTTTGAAGCTGTTAAAAGAAACAAATATATCCACATAATATAAGCACTCCTAGATTTATGTGAATTCTGGTCAAGACTAAAAGTTAGGGAGCCTAACATTAACGATATAATCTAGAGAAACAGGTCATATATTTGATGTTCTGATCACTTTACCAGTTCTAGTGGAGTGTTCTCTATGTTTCAATTAATTATAAAAACAATGATGCATCTGATTATACATAATATCCATACATACACCTTTCCGTTTCCTTCAATTCTTATAATAAAACGAACGGGATAGCAAAAATCAGTCAATCATCGAGGTTTCTATTTCATTAAAATAAAAAGGCAGAGTAATAATAACATACATATATATATATAGTCTCAATCTTAGTAGAAGTCGTAGGTTTGAAGAAAGATATCTATTTCATTTTTTTTTTAATCAAGCTTCCCCATCACATAACATTTATGGAATGATTTAAGATCTCAACAAAATCATACTTTGGTACAATGCCTCAACGGGTAAGAAGTCCTCAATCAAAAGGAATCAAGAGCATAATTAAACCAAATTTTTAAAACTTTTTAGTTTTGTTTTATATAACATAGTGGTTTGTAGTAGTGTTGTTGTTAAGTCACTGTCTAGACTCAAATCCGATATAATATAATTTAAGTTTCGTTGAAAAAAAGAGAAAAGATGAAAGACTTACACAGTAATCAGTATGGAGAGAGATGATGCAGAAGAAGAAGAAGAAGAAGAAGGCTGCTCTTTGTTTTTATTACCAAATGAGGAGAACGTATGTGTTGAACTGGAGCGTTATTAACAAAGAAGAAGTATATATATAAATTATTGGAGTTTTTTGTCTTTACTAGATCCAAAGATGTATATTGTGACATATACGGCTTAAGTTAGAAAACATAGAACTTATGATACAAACAACAATGTCCCATGACTTGTCAGAATCGAGTACCTTCAAACTCCCAAACGAGCACCAGTGGTTGAGGGAACACAAACATAAAACCCGTCACGGCTCTGGTCGGTATTGTCTACCAATGAGTGTGACGAGAGACTGTCTTGGATCAATCAGTGGCCACTTAAGGACGAAGGTCACAGGGGCCAGTGGCAGTGTCGTAATTAAAACGGTTCGAGGAAGGGCGTTTTGGGAAGTGCATGAGAAGTTCCTATCCTGATGTCAACTCTACGTGTGAAAGAAGAGGAAAAGGTTATAAAAGATTTATGTAAATTTATTTTTAGATTTTTGAAATGTTAATAATGTAATTGTAACCCTAGTGGGTGTCTAGCCGACAATGACTGCTTTTGGTGGTCCCCTTTGGCTGTGGGACATATCTGTCCCGATTTGAAGATCCTCCACGATTGGAGCTGAGCTGGATTTTGTACTCGTTGTAATAACCTTGTATTTTATTTATTAATGTTTTGGCCAAAATTGATGTCTTTCTTGTGAAGAAATGAATAATATGTGATGAGTTCAAGTTGTTTGGAAGTAGGCCTGGGATTTAAAAATTTGTTTCGCTTCGGCTATTAAAATATGTAATCGTTCAGCGTAAATTTCAGTTATGTTCAATTCTCGGTTCAAGATCTAAACCAAACGATTAACCGAAACAAAAACCCTACAAATTATTCAAATGTTTTCTCCCCAAACTCTGAAGAAAAAGACTCATTGAATCTTCCCCAAACCTCATGATTCTTTTTTCCCGTAATTAAAATATATTGCAGCGAGAAAAGACTTGAATTAATTCGGGTTTGAAATCAAACAAAGAAAGACAAACACATGATACAAATGATCACATGACTCTTATTTAAATTTTAATAAATGGGCCTTAGACCTTTTTGTCAATAATGGGCATTAGACCATTTGATGGAAGTTAATTGAGTCCTTAAGGAGATTAAAGCTTTTAACCTATGTGTTTATACTTTATAGCCTTCTTGGATTTTTTTTTTCAATTAGAAATAACATGATAACATCAGATGGCCCAAGGTCCAAATGTTAAAGCATAAAACAGTCACGTTTCCATCACTTGCTTATCCACTTCTTTATAGGGATCGAATTCTCAAGAAATGGAAAAGATGATAGAGCTTAAGTGACAAACCTTTTTACCACTTTGAGACTTTTTCTCTTCTTAAGCAAGAAAACAGTGGAAAGTTTACCTTATCGGTATCACATACTACATCATTGGAACATGTTTTGATATGTGACAAACAGGGCCAGCCCAACTCTATTTGACTGTGAGGAAGATGGGCTTCTATCTTCACATCTGGGCCTATGATTTGGGCTTGCTTTGTCAAAGTTTCAAATGGATCAAGATTGAGTCCAATAACAAAAGAGGAAGTCGTTGATAAAACGGAAAGTACGCTACAAGGAATAACGTCGGTTACGTATTGCTATAAAAGAAACAAAGACTTTGAAGCCAAACCCTAACACAAGAGAAGGAGTCAAAGAGCCGTGAGTACAAAGCTAAGATACAGAGGGAGAGAGAGCAATTGAGAGAAGAGGGAATCCAAGAGAGCACCAAAAGAAGTTTGAGTCTTCTTTGTGTTGTGATTCAAATCTTCTCTTCGATTGTTCTAATCTGTGACTTGTACTTGAACACAAAGAGAGCGCCGGTTAGTGCGTTTGTGTAATCTTTGATTGATAGTGAAAGTTGTGGAAGACGGTTCCCATCCCAGACGTAGCGGTTCGAGGCCGTGAACTGGGTGATCAAACTTTTGTGTTATTTAAGTTTCTAATCATCTAATAGATCCTAAGATCTAAGCACTCAGGAGAAGTTAAAAATCCTTAAATTGACGCCCAAAGCAAGAAAAAATATTTACCTTAAAAACACATGTTGGAAAATCGAATCTGGATTATTTGATAACAAAAAAAATAAACAACCACTAGACTATGAAGTATTTTAGTAAAATTTTGCTACTCTTAATATATATACTAAATTTGGCGCCTAAAGCTAGGGTTTCAGCCGCTTTACCTCAGGGTCGGCCCTGGTGACAAATATAAACCTCATGTTAAAGACGTCGCCAAAATCTTGAGTTAATTGAGATAAAATCCTTTAAAGACGTCGATCAAACACAATGATGCTGTTTCAAAAACAACATTGTGAAGCTATTACAAATCTAATTTCAAACAGTTGATTTCTTTGTTTCAACTGACTTCTTGATCGTGAAATGGATGAGGATAGCACAATTCTTTTAATTTTGGAAAGGCCATTTTTTGCTAGTGGAAGTCTTAATAGACATGTCGAACAACAATCATGCGTACCAGACTTGGCCATTCCTCCCTAACCGAGTAGAATCAAATCGACCCAAACTGAAATAATTTTGTTTGTCAGTTTTAATTTCAGTATTTTGTTTAAACCCAAAAACCAAACAAACCAAACAAACCAATCCTGAACTAACCGAACTGACCTGATTCCTAATTTTTTAAATTTATTTTTTTCAAGAAGTAACTTTCCTTGAAAATCATGAATTTGAAACATATCCATCCCTGAGATTCTGCTTCAACAACTATGAAGACCTTAACTTTGTTATATAAAGAAGAAAATTGTTTACATCAGTACTTTCTACATAAGTATGCTGAAAGTTCAAGTTTTAAATAAATCTTTTATAGTAAGAGAGTTTTTTCCTCTCTCTCTTCTCTCACTCCTATCCTTCAGAGAGAGAGAGCACTTTTTCTCTCCAAATCACCGATCATTTGATCGGTTTCTTTTCCGTGTAAATCGGATAATAATCTTCCGACTTCGTTCGGATAATAATCTTCCGACTTCGATCGGATTTTGCTTTCAGATCCAAATTATGTTTCTTTCTTTCTTACTCTTTGATTTTGGATCTGATTCTCCTCGCCTTATGCGAGTTTTCGATCTCTTTTCTGACTGCATTATCCTCTCGTCGGAATCACCGTTGTTCTTTTAAGTTTTATTTCAGGTTTCTTATCTTGCTTGGAGTAATATCTTCGTCGTTTTCCTCTTGCTCAAGTCGGAGCAATGGTGGACACAGTTCAGATCAATAGAGTGGATCTGACGGCGACGGAGCTTCCTTGAAGTTTGAGATTTGGATGAAACTTAGAAGCTGCTGTATAATTCCATCACGGATTTTTCATTCCGACAACTATTTTCCGGGAATTGAAGATCGGCAGAAGGATGGCATCAAGATACAGGATCCATAGCAGTGGACATCGGAGAATTGCCGGCGCCGCTGTTGCATGACGGTGATTATAGAAGATAGACACGTGGTATAAATTGAGATGAATAATAAAGACACGTGTAATCACCTCTCTTTGATCTTACCTCTTATGTATATGATTGTGAGAGGCCCAATGTTAGCCCGTCTATTTCCTATATCTTTGTACCTAATGTAAACCTTCTGTAATATTAGCCCATGGGCTTAATCAATATAATCTGTTGTCGACAAAAAAAAATAAATCTTTTATAGTATTTTTTTTTTCTTACAGTGGAAGCCACGTGTATGTGGGAAGAGAAAAGAGTGCCACAAGTGATTCTTTTAGCCTTTTTCAACCTAAAAAAAAAAAGACGCGACAAAAGCTGTAAGTGGGGAGGGACTGAGTCAAGCCACAACGCGTGGAGTGAGATGATAGCTTCCCTACTCAATACCAAAACGGAACGTTGATACTTTCTTCATTTGACTATTTTGCCCTTATCCGTACTTCTCGAGGCCCCAAAAAGGCTTTAAGAAAATTGATTCTTCATCATCATCTCCGTCCTTCACAAAACTCGGAAAGCATCTCACTTTTTCATTTCTTTTATACAGACACAAACATAATCACAGAAAAGCTCTGTTCTTGTTCTTTCATTCTTTAATTCTTTTTTTCCTAAAAAGTTTCCCCTTTTTTTTGTGGGTTTGTATTCTTTGTTTCGTCTACTTATATATTCATCGAGCTGTGCTTATTTATTATTCTCTCTTTTCGAATCAATTTTTGAGTTTCTTGAACTCCGGCGACCGGAGATCCGAGTTCTTGTTCGGTTTTTAAAAGGAAGTCGAAGAAGATGTGGTGGATGATGGGAGAAAACGGTGGTCACTATTGCTCTAAAAAGTCCGATGATTTATGCGGCTCACAGGTTCTTCCTTTAATCCTTTCTTTCAGTTGAATTCACGATTTGTTCTTGAAACAAGATCTTCTTTAGTCAATAGTCCTTGATTTGTAAAGGGAACCCATTTGGCTTCTACTCTCGATCTAAACCATAGATCTTACCGGTCTGATCATTCGTTAGGTTATTATTCTTCAGGAAAATCATTCTCTTGATCTATCTGTTTGAGTAGAAGACAAAGTAGAAGTAATCTTACAATCTTTTGAATTAGATTGCTCTATTTGTTTAAGCAGAAGACAAAGTAGAAGTAATCTTACAATCTCTGGTCTAAAGTTTAGTTTTTTGTTTGGTTTGGCCTTAAATCAGCTATGATTGTGAGTGGATTTAGCTATAGACATTCTTCTTATGGCGTTTTCTTGTGAACAGGAATCTGATCGAGGCTTTGGCATCTCTAGACTCTGCTGCATCTTGCGTGGCGTAGACTTAAAATCAATCCTTTTCCTCTTAGTAATCGTCCCAATGTGTGTTCTTGGTGTATACATTCACGGCCTCAAGATCTCATACTTCTTGAGACCTTTATGGGAATCACCTCCAAAACCATTCCACGACATCCCTCATTACCACCACGAGAACGCTTCCATGGAATCTCTCTGTAAACTCCACGGCTGGGGAATCCGTGAATACCCTCGTCGTGTCTACGACGCCGTTCTCTTCAGCACCGAAGTTGAGCTTCTCACCATACGGTGGAAAGAACTGTACCCTTACGTGACTCAGTTTGTGCTCCTTGAGTCCAACTCCACTTTCACCGGTTTACCAAAACCGCTCGTCTTCGCTGGACACAGAGACGAGTTTAAGTTCATTGAGCCACGGTTGAGTTACGGTTCTATAGGAGGAAGGTTCAAGAAAGGAGAGAAGAATCCGTTTTACGAAGAAGCTTATCAAAGAGTCGCTTTGGATCAGCTTTTGAGACTCGCTGGTATTACTGATGATGACTTGTTGATCATGTCTGATGTTGATGAGATACCGAGCAGACACACGATTAATCTTCTCCGTTGGTGCGATGACATACCAAAGATCCTTCACCTTAGACTCAAGAACTATCTTTACTCGTTTGAGTTCCCTGTTGATGATAAGAGCTGGAGAGCTTCAGTTCATAGGTACCAGACGGGTAAAACTAAGTACGCGCATTACAGGCAATCGGATGTGATCTTGGCTGATTCTGGATGGCATTGTAGCTTCTGTTTCAGGAGGATAAGCGAGTTTGTTTTCAAGATGAAGGCTTATAGCCATTACGATAGAGTGAGGTTTGCTCATTACTTGAATCCCAAGAGGGTTCAGAGAGTTATATGCAGTGGAGAGGATTTGTTTGACATGATCCCGGAGGAGTACACGTTTAAAGACATCATCGGGAAAATGGGTCCGATTCCGCATTCTTACTCGGCGGTTCATCTTCCGGCGTATCTTCTTGAGAATGCTGACAAGTATAAGTTTCTTCTTCCAGGGAACTGCTTGAGAAACGAGGAATGATATGATGGTTCTTGTAACTATGCTACTACGACTAACTCATGATTCTTGATTCTTGATTCTTTGTTGAGTAATTTTTTGAAAGAAGTTCTTGGCGATTTTTATTGGTCACTTTCGTGTACATATACAATTTAATTTATACCCTTTTAGTGTTATCTCTTTGTGGATGTGTGTGTCTAATACACGTTTTATTATGCGGCACAAAAAAACTAGGCCGAGTGTGGTATAGTCCACGTTATAGTATATGCTTTGCACGACGAGCAAGCCAATGAACAATACAAAATTACACAATGAGATCAATTAGAGATTTTTACAAAGACATGAAACAAAGTTGAGATGATAGATCCTGACCTGAAATAATTTCTATATCTTACGAAGACAGAACAGATTGCGAAAGGCAGGAACGTGGCTCCAAGCAGAAAGTATCTTCCTTGTACAAAGGTTTTACGTGGATAAATAGAGTTGAGGGCAGTACCATCTTTACGAGCTCCGTAAGATTTAGCATGTGTCATAAGATTCCAAGTGATGAAAACATTTGCGGTCTAAGTACTAAGTTCCATAGGTAAATGACGTCGATATCAAAACAGTTGATTGCCATTGGAACACAGTTATGGCCAAGCCATAGATAAGCCATGTTGATTTCCATGCCTTTTTCAAGTTTCAAGAATCCACTCCACTTATATTATTTATATATAATAAATATGGAGAGATTGTAAGTGAATATCATTCCTTGAATATGAACAATGATTTACATCGCTACATATCGTTCGAGGTTTACAGAGTTTAATGGGTATTCCTAAATTAACGAGATATGCCTAGATCTATGGGATTCCTCTTAATCAAATATCCACAGTATAATCTAAATATGGAATAGAGTATCTCATTCCTAACACCCTCCTGCAGTCGCATCTTCGGGTTTTCGAACGGTGAGACTGGAACGAAATTCTCGATGAAGTGAGGAAAGTAGCCCCTTTGTGAAGATATCAGCGTATTGAAGCGATGTGGGGATATGAAACACTTTGAATTCACCGATGGCAACCTTATCGCGAACAAAATGAATGTCCTGCTCGATGTGTTTGGTTCTTTGATGTTTAACTGGGTTCGTAGATAAGTAAACAAAGCTGATGTTGTCGCAATAGACGATGGAGGCAGAGAATATTGGGCGATGTATCTCAAGCAATAAGTTATGTATCCAAGTGAGTTCAGCAACGGGGTTGGCGACGCCTTTGTATTCAGCTTCAGAGCTTGATCGTGATGGGGTTGGTTGACGCTTTGCGGACCATGAGATAATATTGGGACCAAGGAAGACACAGTAACCGGAGGTGGATCGGCGTGTGTCTGGACAACCGGCCCAGTCGGCGTCAGAGTAGGCGGTGAGACTGTCTAGACGGCTTTTTATCATCTGAATTCCATAGTGAAGAGTGCCTTGCAAGTATCGTATGATTCGTTTGAGAGCATTAAGATGAGAGACCCGAAGTTGGTGCATGTAGAGGCAGACTTGATGCACAGCGTATGATATATCCGGACGTGTGAATGTCAAGTATTGTAAGGCATCAGCCAAACTACGATAGAACGTTGGATTGTCAATTGGTTCGCCGTCATCTTTTGAGAGTTTGGACTGGAGATCAACCGGTGTGGTGAGTGGCTTGCAATCCACCATACCAGCCCGTGTGATGATGTCCTGTGCATACACAGATTGACTGAGAAAGAGACCTTTGGCATTGAAATCTGCTTTGACTCCGAGGAAGTGATGCAGCTTGCCCATATCGGTCATTGGAAATTCTGTTTTCAGCTTTGAGATTATCTTCTGAAGTAAGATTGGTGAAGACGCTGTCAAAAGAATATCATCAACATAAAGTAATAAATAAGCACAATCACGTCCACGTTTGAAGATGAACAGAGAAGAATCTGCCTTGCTTTGCGTGAAACCCATCTGCTTGAGGTAGTTTGAGAATCGGGAGTTCCAAGCTCGTGGCGCTTGTTTTAAGCCTTATATGGCTTTGTTGAGCTTGCACACATAAGACGGCTTGCTCTTGTCAACAAATCCGGGTGGTTGGTGCATGTAAACTGTTTCTTGAAGGTCACCTTGTAAAAACGCATTTTGTACATCCAGCTGATGAATCGGCCAGTCGAGAGCAACACCAACATTGAGTATTATTCGAATGGTTGCTGGCTTAACCACCGGACTAAATGTTTCAGTGTAGTTGATGCCTTCTTCTTGAGATTTCCCATTTGCGACGAGTCGTGCCTTGTGTCTATTGAGAACACCATCTGCATCATATTTATGCTTAAAAAGCCACATAGAACGCACAACGTTAACTTTAGGGGGTCTTGGTACCAAATCCCAAGTCTTAGTCTTAAGCATAGCACCATGTTCAATCGTCATGGCTGGATTCCAGTTCGGGTCAGAGAGAGCTTGCAGGTGACTTTTGGGAAGAGGTGATTTTGTTTTGGTTAGGAGGGAAAGGATCTGTTTTGGTTTGGTAATACCCGCCCTGGACCGTGTGGTCATATTGTGACGTGGTGGTGGTATAGGAGGAGTGGGTATGGGTGGTTGAGTTGCGGTTATAGGTGAAGGTGGGTGGGTTATAGGAGCTTGGAGAATGGACCGTAACAGAGGAGATGGTGTATCATTTTCATCAAGAAAAGTGTAAGAGACAAGTGGTGTGATAGGCTCGGCAGCAGGGAATTTGTTTTCATAAAAAATGACATGACGAGAGATGATGATCTTTTTGGTTTTGAGGTCTATACACCTATAGCCGCGGTGTTGGGATGGATACCCAAGAAATAGACATGGTGTTGACCGAGGAGAAAGTTTGGTAAGGTTCGAATGGTTGAGGTTGGGAAAGCACAAACACCCGAAGACTCTTAAATGATCGTATTTAGGCTGTTGTTGAAAAAGAAGGGTATAGGGTATTTGGTTCTGGATAGCTTTAGAGGGAGTGATGTTAAGGACATGAACAGCTGCATGTAAGGCTTCAACCCAATAACAGGGTGGTAAACGAGCTTGGAACAGGAGAGTACGAATGGCATTATTAATGGTGCGGATCATTCTCTCGGATTTACCGTTTTGTTGAGAGGTATGGGGACAAGAGAAACGAGCATTAATGCCATGAGTAGCAAAATGGGTTTGAAACTGAGCATTGTTGTACTCACCTCCATTATCGCATTGAAAGTTTTGGATTTTGGCTTGGAACTGATTTGCGATATAGGCAGTGAAGTGGAGGAATTTAGAGAATACTTCACTTTTACGTCTAAGAGGATAGACCCATAAGAATTGGGAGTAGTGATCAAGAAACAAAACATAGTATCGGAGACCACTAATGCTTGGTAAAGGCGATGTCCACAAGTCAGAATGCACTATTTCGAAGGGGTTTGTGAACTTGGGTTTTTGAAGAGAAAAATGGTTGTTTTATTGATTTTCCCAAAATGCAGGGTTCACAGGAAATAGTAGCTGGATCTTTATTACAAAGAGAAGGATGAGAATTAAAAATAGAACTAAGGAAAGAGTTGTGGACATGGCCGAGTCTTTTATGCCATAGCTCGGGAGTTGAAGCCAGGAGAGCAGTGGGAGAAGAGCTCGGTGTCTTATTTAACGAGGCAGGTAATGAGTAAAGATCACTGAAGCTTTCACATCGGAGCAGGACTTTCCGACTTGGAAGATCCTTCATAGTAAAACCAAACGGGTCAAAGTCAACAGAACACCAATTATCTTTTGTAAATTGGCGAACGGAAATAAGGTTTTTAACAATATTTGGTGCAACAAGGACATTTTTGAGTAAGAGAGGGTTGGTTTTGGAAGGAATGGTGGTGTGGCCAGAGGAGGTGATAGGGATGGAGGAACCATTACCAACAATGACAGATTGACCGGTATTATGATTAAGATTAGAGTTGAGGATACCTGCGTGTGGTGTGAGATGTGCAGTGGCACCGGTGTCCATGAACCAGTCGGAGGCAGAGGGGTCGTTTAGCGACTCGGTGACATAGGATTGGATGGGCTGTTGGAACTCCACAAAGTTTGCTTGGTGCTGCTGTGGTGGAGTGGTCTGAGGGAAACGACCTTGTGGCGGCTGAGTCCATGATGGATACTGATGCCAGTACGGTGGAGGAGATGGCCAGTACGGCTGAGATCCCCATTGAGGTCCCCAAGGCGGGCGATTGTTGAAGCCGTTGTTGTTGTAGTTGCCGCGACCACCTCGGCTACGGTTGTTGTTAAAACGACGGTTGCCTTTGTTGCCGTTTCCGGAACGTGAGCGATTCGAATCAGACAGGTGATGAGGTGGAGCAGCAGCGATGAGTGCCGTGGACGAGGAGGCGTTGTCGTTGTGAGTGGCCGATGAGCGAGGCACCTTCTTGACGCGAGTCTCTTCCAGTTGGAGCATCGACTGAGCAGTCTCGAAGGATGGGAACGGGTCTTTGTGTTTGATAACATTGATTATGTTATCAAACTTGTCGTTCAAGCCATTGAGGAGATACATCACCAAGGTTCGTTCATTGACCTCGGCGTCGACGTTGGTGAGCAGATCGGCGAGAGATTTCATCTTCTGACAATATTCGCGAATTGTCATGTCTCCAATCTCCATGGTTCGTAGCTCGTTGTCGAGCTGTATCGCACGAGCTTCTTTATTATTGCGGAATTGATTTTCCACTCGTAGCCAGATGTCACGAGCTGTTCCACCGGTCTTGAAAGAGGAGCGAAACAGAGGCTGTGCAAGGGTGCCGTAAATCCAGAGTTTAACAAGACCTTCGCGTTTGTGCCACGCCGTGTCGGTGTTGCCGGTGGGGAGAAGGGTGCCGTCGATGTGGCCAGAGACATCAAAGGTCATACAGTGAGTTTGGAATAACTCTCTCCAGGCGTCGTAGTTGTGGTCTTTGAGATCTAAGGTTAACGGGATGTGATGTTTGATGTTTGTCACACATAAGCATCATTCATGGGCATTGTTTGCAGCAGCCATAAAGAACAAGAAAATGAGAGTAAAACAGAGGAAGAGAAAAGAAGAAAAAGAGGAGAAAAAGGAGATGAAGGAGGTCGGATCAGATGTGAAGCTCTGATACCATGTAAGTGAATATCATTCCTTGAGTATGAACAATGATTTACATCACTACATATAGCGTTCGAGGTTTACAGAGTTTAATGGGTATCCCTAAATTAACGAGATATGCCTAG